TTGAGACTTTAATGATTTAAGGATTTTAGGGTTTGAAGTTTTAGGTCTTGAGATTTTAGGGTTTTGAATTATAGGGTTTTGAGGGTTTTAAAGGTTTTGAGGTTTAAGTATATAAGGTCTTGAGGTTTTAGGGTTTGTAATTTTAGGGTTTAGAGGGTTTTAAGATTTTAGGGTTTTGGATTTTATTGTTTTGAAGTTTTGGGGTTTTAAGATTTAGGGATTTAAAAGCTTTAAGGTTTCACAATTTTAAAGGTTTTAATGTTTCAAAACAATTTTTATTGGTTTTTATATTTTTATGAGAAAAATGAGAATTATCGAAAATCCAAACTTCCTCGATTATCTTCAACATTTAGACAAACTTTCAAAGTAAGTTTGATTTTCGTAATTCTCTTTTTTTTCTTAACAGTTTTATATCAATGTGACATTGAGCAAATCAATTATGCAAATGAATGTTAAAAATTAAAACAACTAATCTAATCAATTTTATACATATTTATTCTTGTTTACTTATTACCATTTCCATTTCAAAAATAAAAGTAAAATAAATTTTATTAGTTATTTAATTTATTTGTGAAAATTTTAGCTTTTATTTTAAATTCCAATTCAACCTATCTTAATTATAATTTTTTATATATTTTTTATTATTTAATTCTTTAATATCTAAGCAAAATTAATTTTTTTCAAATACGATTTGGATTCCCTTAAACATCAAGGCAATGTTTCCAAAATTCCTTTTTCTTTTATTTTATATATATACTTATTTTTTATAAAAATATTGTTCTATTTAATTTCTACAGCTCTCCATTTTAAAACATTTTTAAAAAGAGATTATCATCATTCCCTTTCAAGATATTGTATGTTATTACTGATGATTCCAACCTTTTACATGCAAAACGTTTTTAGTAATAAAATGCATGAAAAATAGATAAATAAATAATAAATAAATAGTTGAATTAAATAAAGTAAAAAAAATATGTAAAAATAATTGGACTAAACTTAATTTAAAATCCAAGACTAAATTGGTGAATTGATTGGGCTTGAACTATTGAATTATAGTGCAAGCCAGAGATGGGCTTGGAGTACAAGATAAAGGTGGGCTGGATCCTAGTGGGGTTGAAGCTAGAGTTTAGAAAGGTCGAACCACGGGTGGATTAGATCGATTATGGAGGAGCTTACGAGACAAGTCGTTCAACTTTCTTGTCGGTTGTAAGTCAGGTAAACCCGTTTGATTTTTTTTTTTTGGGCTTTAAAACATACTATAAATATCAAAGTTTTTTTTTTAATTCATTTCACTATCTTTTTTTTTACAAAAAAACCTATATTTTTTTAAAAAAAAAAACTCAAAATGTCAGCTGCCGCCTCCTTTTTGTCATCGATGTCGTTGTTGATTGGTGGCACTTTACTTTTTTTTTTCTTTTTCTTCTTTTTCTTTCTCTCATTCTCTTTTTTTTTTCTTCTCTTCTTTTCTTCCATTTCTCTCTCAGAAGCTGAAATTGACTTTTCTTTTTCTTTTTCTTTTCTCTTTCTCCTTTTCCTTGGTAGAAGCCAAAACTGACTTTTTTTTTCTTCATGGGTTAATGCTGCCCATCTTCTCTATTTGTTAGCACCCATAGGTTTTTGTCTCCGGCATCGCTCTTTGACATTTTCCTCTTTTTTTGTGGTTTTCTTTTATGAAAACGGAATTTGACCATTTTTCTCTTTCTTTTTTTTTTCAGGTCAGCACACTTCTCATCTCTTATTTCTTGTCGTGATCGAATGGTGTCCAAAGGGTTTCTAAACAAAATTTTTTTTTTTGAAATCTATCTACTGTTGGGTTCCGACTATAGTTTTTGTATTGGCAGATTGGGTGATTAAGGGTGCTGGTTTAAGTTTTTAAGTGTTGGCATTAGGGGTGTTTGGCACTGGTGCGATTTGGGATGATATAGTTTGGGAGGTCACAAAGGGGTGAAGGTCCACGACTTGGGTAGTAGTGTGAGTGTGGGAACTAGTATTTTTTATATAGGTGGATTGTTTTGTTAGAGGTAGTCTTGTTCTTTGTAAGAGAGTTAAATGGGGTAGGTCCCTTGTGCTTTTTTGCAAAGGCCATAATGTGAATTGGTGCTGATGGTTGACCTCAGGTGGTGTCTGCTTCTTTTGTATTTTTCCTATAGCACGCCATTCACACAAGACAAACGAAATTTAATACTTGCAGATTTATAGCAATGTAATGCTGTAAAGAGTTTTAATTAAATTATATTATGATAAAATAAGGTAAAATCGAAAGAAAAACAAAGAGAGCACGAAATGGGAATTACAGTGTCGATTTTAAGATGGTGAGAAAACTTGATGAATTTATGCTAAAATTAGTGGGTAAAACAAAAGACGAAAATTGAAAAGCTAGAAATGGTGCACCAATTGGAGGCAATGGGTTTGGAAGAAAGAGAAGGCTGATGATAATGTTGAGCCTTAGTACGAGCTTGCCTTTATATATATATATATATTAATAAATTTTAAAACCATTTAATTTATCCTCATAGATATGACTTAATCCTAACAATTGAATTTGGACATCCATTGGGCTTTGAATCCTTAAGTCCAAATCAATTAATCATAATTCAAAATTGGTTTTAAGCCCACGTAAAAAGAAACCCATCAAAGCTTAACATAAAATAAGATTGATCAAAGTGTTAAAAATGGGTTCAAATTTAAACTTGCAATCAAGTTAAAAAATTGATTAAAATTTACTTTTATGGAAGAAAATTAAATGTTTACAATAATTATTTCAAAATTTGATATTCAATAAATTTTTATTTAAATTTTAACACTTAAAATCACTTTCACTATTTCCAAACTATAACTTGTTTTATATAAAATATTTTTGAATATAATTCTTTAAAATAAAATATATATATATACATCAATTATTGAATAAATATTTAGTAATCTTAAACCCAAAAAATAATCTTCAATTTTTATATTAAATATTAAGTCCTTTGTATTCTCATGTAAAATGTGATTTAGGAGAGAGAAAAATATGCCCTTTGAAGTGAAAAATTTTTTTGAGAAAGAAGTGACAATCAAATTAAATTCAAAGAGTATTTGAGCCACGAAACATAACATTTTCCAGAGGGGTTGGAATTTTTGACCTTAGGGTAGAGCGACATGTTGGCTAAATAATGTACAAAACGAAAATCCATAGTATTTGGAAATCAATATGGTTCCTTGTATGATATCACCCATGACCACCAAAAGCATCATTCTCAATTTCATATTAGTCAAAACAAGAATCAAGATTATTTTTAGTTAATTTACTTTATATTAAAAGAATAAAAATCTTTTACAATTTAAATGATATAAGTATATCACTATTTTCGTGCATTTGTTACATAAATATTTGAAGCTGAGAGATTACCTTTGAGTGCTTGTTGGAGGTTTGACATTGAGGGCAGAGATTAGTTTTAAAAAGTTTGAAAGGGATTTGGGAGGTTACTGAAATGCAGGTGTCAGGTGACAACTAATAATGAAAACAAAGAAAAAAATGTCCACGTTGAATCAACCTCTACCTACATGGCCATTATGATGAGGCAATGGCCAGAATGTTCTTGCTGTTGGGTGGAGTCCTTTCCATCTTTCATCAAATTGCACAGATTATTGAGATCATATTCATTGAGCATTCCTCAGTGGGATCTGATCAGGAAAAGGGCAGTTTTATATTTTGTTTTCCCTCCACAAAATCATCAATATGGTGGCCAGTCCATGTGATTCAGAATAACAATTGTTTAATAATTGTTTATATTAAGTGATTTTACAGCTATCAGCACATGATATAGGTTTGGGTTTTTTTTTTTTTTAATCTAAAACTGTCCAACGTTTAAAAGTCCATATGTCGAACTACTTCTTTAAAATAAACATCAAACATCATATGACGTGAGGGTCAGCTTTTGCTACCGTCCAATTCTTCTTAGATCAGAAATTAAGTAGTATCTTTCTTTTTGCATGAGCATTTGGCTCAAGTGATTGTTGTGACATCCTATTCAAAGAGCAAAGTTTAATTATCTTATTTTCCAAATAAAAGAAATAGTATATTTCCTCATATAACTTTCCATTTCTTTATTGTTTAAGATTATTATCTTAAGATGGTTTAATTGTCATCAAAAACATTAATTAGCTTATTAATAAGTTTACTAGAAAATGCAAATGGAAGTGGCCCTTCAAAAGCTTACTCAAAGGTCGACAGATCACCAAAGAAGACAAATATAAAAGATGAAGATTTTGGTATTTGTTGAACAATTATTGTTGTAGTTAATGATGTATCCAAAACTCCTCTGCTTTCATTCTCATTTCATCAACATATTCAAATTAATTTTTAACACATTTTCTCAAGCATTATTTAAGTTCTAATATAGAATTGAAAATGCTGTTTTCTCCTGATTGTAGTTTTATGACAATCCTACTGGAATCCAGCTAATGGCATTGATGTTGTTGAATGTTGCCTGAATATTATCTTCTTCAAGCTTTATAAAATCGTATATATGTCAGTTCAATTACTTGTTAGTTTTAAAGTTTTATTCTGCTTTACTGATTTTTTAAAAATCATATGATTTTTCATATATCATTTAATAAGTTGTTATTCAAATCTCAACTGCTATCTTATCTTCAAATAAAAAATATAAAGAACAAGTAATTTGTTTCGAATAAATTGTTAGAAAGTAATTTTCAATACGTTCGAATCAGTTGTCAAGTCACATGTTTAAGTTGTATAAAGAACCCAAAAGGTTCCATAGAATCTATTAATCTAGGACAGCAAACACATTGAATTCGTCGGTTCCCCTGAAACCAGCCCTGGTTTTGAGCTTTCTTGACAAATCGGTCGCTGGAAAAGTGGTAATATTAACCATAAAATAAGCTGCTAACTTAGGTTGCATTTCCAACCCCATTCATGTTTTCTAGGCTGGTCTCGTGAATGTATACCATTTTCTTGCATCTGTTTCGTTACTCAGAAATGCTAGAAATTAATAATCAGGAAAAGCAATGGAAAGGAAAATACTAGTAATTACAAGAAAACATTTGTACATTTTCATTTCTCTATATCTCATATAGATTGATGATTTTAACCTCCAAAAGGCCAAAAAAAAGTGGGGGAAAAAAAAGGAAAAATGAAAACAAAAGGAGGCAGTTGAGGACTTGATGAAGCAAATAGTAAAAAGTTTCAAAAGAACAAGTGTCGAGGAAGATCAGATCCAGCGGAAGAAAGGAAGCTAGAGAAGGAAACACCCATAACCGGGACAGCGAAAGTCGACTCCATGAACATTCTTTGCTGTAAAGCCTCCACAGTTGCTCCTGCTTCAACGATATCCTTAATCAAATTCCTATAATATTTCCTAAGCTTCCTCAACATGCACTTATATTGCAACTTCAGCCACTTTAGTCTCATCTTCTTCAGAACCCTCACTATGAAAAACCCTCGCCGTGGCTTCTTCCCACCGAGGCGAACTGTCGGTAACTTGTTACGCCTGCGGAGGAAGATTCTCCGCCGTGCCTGGCATTGGAATGTGGTGGCCAAATGGTTTTGAGGTCGTGTTTTGGGGGTGGTTTGCTGATGATCTACAGCCATGTTGGTGGAGGGTTAGGGAGAGAGTTAAAGAGAGAATAGGGAGAAGAGTTTATATGAGAGTTGAGGCTTGAAAGAGACAAAGAGAGTTAACCATATGCGGACAGAAGCATCTTGGAGCAAGGTGCTCCCTTCAGCTTCATTTATCACTAATATATTTCAATAAATCAAAGTCATGGCATGATTCTTTTTCCGTTACAAAAAATAAATATATATTTGTTCAATTTCAATGGATTTTGCTGATGGAGTTTAAGATTAAAGTTAAACATACGGAAGAAACATATAATCCAATACTATTTGAATTGCAATAAGAAATTCAATATTCTTTGAGTCCATTTATTTTTTCACTCCAGTAAACATTGATCAGACCTTTATCAATAGCAAAAGTATTGAAATATTGTGCATTTGCATCGTATTCTTCACACTTCTCTTTTTTTTTTTTGGATGCAAGTAGTAAATAAAAAATCCAATATAACAACAAATTTAATAAAATAATTTATTAATTTATACAATTATTTTAAAGAAATGGCAATTAATATATTTGAATTTTTTTAATCCTTAAACTATAATTTTTTATATAAAAAATAATTGCTTAGGAGCATATATTATCATATATTATAGAAATATAATATTGTATAGAATTTTTTTAATCTTAGATTACATCACGCATTACGTATACCAAAATAATAATAAAAAATTGCAATATTATAAGATGTTGATGGTTAATTAATCTATAGAAATAAAAATATATAATTCCAAATCATAGTGATTCTAAATGTGAGTTTTTGACTGACTGGCCTGGTTTTGCCTTTTGTCTTGTAAATCGAGCTGGCCCTTGACACAGATATCGAATCGATGACGATGGGATCTAGGTGACGAAGCATGGCATGGCCGGCAGCTTATCAACAAACAAGACATTTATAAATTTTAGGTTTTTAATGGATCAAATTCAAAGCCCATAACATTTTTTTTTTAAGCATAATTTGGTCACTCTCTCTGCAATATGGTCCCTTCTTCAGGTCCTAATAACAACAAAGATGACAAAACTTTTTTAACGTTCATTCATGTCGATATAATTGGATATGGTCTACAATTTTGTTGAACTTCGTGTAAAAACAAGTAGTAGTTTTAGTTTATCTTTTTGGAGCTTCCTTGGCATGTGAATGTCTAGTTTGGGCTGATTGCTTCAAGTATCCAGCTCATTATTCACATTAAAATTTGAATGTTATATTATATTGCTGTATTATATTATAATTCAATATTAATTTTTATTAGCATTATATTTTGAAAAAATTAGGTTACATATCTATGAATTTTTTGTAATATTTTATGTTCATTCATGATTTTTAAAATTCATTTTTTTCTTTCATAATTTTTGAAAGCACGTAACAAAAAAAAGTGTATTTTCTTTGATTTTTTTAGTTGAATTTTATATCACGTAACAAGAACTCCTTCTCTCTCAACTCTCAAGTTACTGATCTCTCTTCCGTGCACACTCCTTTGAGCTCAACGTCGACCAACGTAACTATGGCCCCAGCTCGGAGGACCGAAGGCGGCTGGACCCTCTTCATCATCGGGTCCGGTTACCACCAAAAAACCCCTCTTCATCATTGTTTATAAACACTTCTTCGTTTATTTCCGAACAGGAGTGGCCGAGGTCGGTAGTTCCCGCGGCCATAAATAAATTCTCCAAAGGGGGATCACATTTCTTCCTTCTGAAAGTGGGAAAAAAATAAAGTAACGACGCCTGAGAGATTCGAACTCTCGCGGGGAAACCCCATGTACTTAGCAGGCACACGCCTTAACCACTCGGCCAAAGCGTCATTGTTGAGAATTATTTTATTAAATTCCTATTAGTGATGTTTTAGTTGATCCTTCTATCTTTTTCTGTCGGGGACATTAGCAACGAGTCTTCCTTTTGCAAAAGAACTTTACTTTGTTGGCTGGTTTCATTTCAGATTGGGCCTTGGATTTTTAGCAACAACACAACATCCATGACGGGGCGCGCCCTGCTAAATTCAACCATCTTTCTGCTGAGAAATGAGCATGTTGCATTATAATTTTCTAGGCGCACCCGTTTCCCTTCAAATAAGGCCTTTCACTTGTATAATTACAAACTTACAGTTAATGAGATCAATTCCATAATGCAAAAAAAAAAAAAAAAAGACAATTTTCCTGCATAATCAACTTGATTCAGGTTCATTCTTGTAAACCAAGTATTTCAATATCAAATTATGCAATCAGTGATATAAAAATTTGAGATTTAATCTCTATATAATAACAAAAAATTCAGTTCCCATATTATATTATTTTGATAATATCACTCTAATGAATAATTTTATTAAAATTCTTATGTTAAATGTATTAAAATATCCGTTGGTTTTCACTGATATAATATTTTAGTTGGCTATTAAAAAAATAACTGATAATGTAAACTTACTGAAAATGAAATGTATAAATAAACCAAAAACTCTGACGAAATCCACGGCATGTTGTTTTAGCCAATATTTTTTTCAAAAGTAATGTGGAGTCAATTCGTTTAAAAAGAAAAACATGACGTTATTTGATCCAGCAAAAGAGCATTAAAATGGACAAAAATCAGTGTTCAATCAAATCTTATAATTCCCCCATCTTACACGGCTCTCTTAACACAGCTCTTCGAATCATAAACCAAAACCTCAGTCTTCGTCTTTGTCCTTTGCTGTATTTTAAGGCATCCTTCTTCCTCTTCACTCCACGTCAAAACTACTTCTTCATTGCAAAAGAACAAAAAAAAAAAAAGAGAAGAAATCTTGCCTACCTGTCTTCTAAAATTCAAGATTTTAGCTTTTCTTCTCTCTTACTCTTCTGCTTGGTTGCCAAGAAAAAACTCTGTGAAAGCAAGGTAAAAGAGACCAAATTCATGATGAATTATCAAAAGGGTGTCTGAAAGTCTTTTTTTTCACTTCGTTTATTGAGTTTTTGCCCTTTGGGTTATTTTTGGTTGGATTTTAAAGCGAGTATTTTTCTTTTTTTTTTTGTGTAATTGTACAGATGGGTTTTTCAAGGAAAGAGTACGAGTTCTTGAGTGAGATCGGGTTGAGTTCTAGTAATTTGGGATGTTTTGTGAATGGCACCTGGAAAGGAAGTGGCCCTGTGGTTTCTACTGTGAATCCCGCTAATAATCAGGTTCTTATTCTATGAATGTGTTTGTTCATGCTAGATGGTTTTATTATTACTTTTGCTGACAGTGAATATCAAGTTCTTATTCTATGAATGGAACAGGTATTTTTAAAAAAAATATATATATGAATCTTATGGTATTTTTCTATCTGTGATCCACCTTTAAATTACGCAAAAAAGCACGAACCAATGTTGAGGCCTTGTGGTCCCTGTGCTTCTATTTAATGGCAGTATGCTTTATTTCCATTTATTTCACAATAACTTCTCTCTTTCTCTATCTTACTGCCTTTGAATATTATTACTTTTGGGCAATTGAGGTTTTCTCCTTTACTTATATATTGCAGGTTCTCTTATTTATAATTGTGCATTTTCTGATAGTAGTGTTATTATATAAGCATAATTGCTAGTTGTGGCGTATGAAAATCACTTAATGCATGCATTTGGTGTTGATTATGCAGAAAATTGCCGAAGTTAGGGAGTCTTCCATCCAAGATTACGAGGAAGGCGTGCAAGCTTGCAGTGAAGCAGCGAAGATGTGGATGCAAGTAAAATTGACAGATACCATAATCAAAACTTTATAGTTTAGGCTGGAAAATTTACATTTATTAATGGCATTTTTACTTTTCTGAAACTCAGGTTCCAGCCCCTAAGAGAGGTGAAATAGTTCGGCAAATAGGTGATGCATTACGAACCAAACTACAGCAACTTGGCCGGCTTGTCTCACTTGAGATGGGAAAAATTCTTCCTGAAGGAATTGGGGAAGTTCAAGTATGTTATGCATTGTTGCATCTGTTGTTACATTTGGTTGTTTGCATAATATGTTATAAGGTGGCCCGTGCTGAACAACTTGTTAGCTGTTGCAAATTCTCAAGCCATTTATTTTATGGCCAAGTTATCTTACGTATTTTCTTCAATCTTCATATGAATCAAGAGGTCGTTAGTAATGGGTTTCTATTTTATGGGGAAAATATAAATGATTATTTGTTAAAAGAAAATTTATTTATTAACGGTCAAAACAATGCAGCAACAAGACTTTGCTTCTAAGTTTAAGGTTTTTCACTGTGAATAGTTTTGGTTCACCAAATTACATAACAGTACTATTTACTTTAAGATATTTTCTCTCTTACATCAAGTACGTTTTTTCTTTTGTCACTGTCACTATTCACGGAAGTCAGAAAGTTTTTTCAAGGAAACTTTTGGTGGCAGCATATGCCTAATGTACTAAGGTGTGTAAGTGGTATGCAATCATGGGTGGAAGATTGTCACTTTGTTTGTCTGCCACATCTAATTTTTTTCTATGTTAATCTCATTCGGTCCTATGTTAGCTATCATGATATAACATTCCTATTACTGTTCTTTATTGACTGGATCATTTCTGTTATTTTACTGGTCATTCTCCAAAGCTTTAATAACGCATAAGGATTATACTAAATATATATGTAGTGTCTTTATGTTTATAAATTAAAAAATGCTAATCTTGCAGGAAATCATTGACATGTGTGACTTTGCTGTGGCGTTAAGCCGGCAATTGAATGGATCAATAATACCTTCAGAACGTAAGTGCATGCATTCATTAGTCGTCATTACGTTGTACATCATCTTGTGGTTGCTTTGTGAATGGCTTGAATTCTGTTTTATGAGCTCCTGATGAACTAAAGTGCAAAACTTTTGCTGGAATGTTGAAATTTTCATGTTTACTGCTGTAGGCATTTACTTATTATTATAAACTATCAACAGTTTGGTTTTTATATTAAATATAGTATAAATATAGTATAGCATGAGATGATATGATACAGTTTACTACAGTATAACATGTATGTAGATATGCATGATACTCTAGACGATAGGAATTCCATCCTAATATGATTGGTTCTCTTGTTAACAGGCCCAAATCACATGATGCTGGAGGTGAGCTATGTGTTTAAACATTTTAAACTTAGACTCATAGGTAAAGTGTGGGGCTAAGGTTGACATTCTGCTCATGTATTCTGGGAACAGATGTGGAATCCTCTTGGAATAGTTGGTGTAATTACAGCATTTAACTTCCCATGTGCTGTTCTTGGTAAGCTGCATTCCTTTTAACTTAGAAACTTGGCATTTTTGGTGCTGAGAGGCTTAAACTTTTGTGAGACAACTGATGTATAATAACTTTGTGAATTGTATTTTCTTTTCTTGGTTATTATTGTCGCTTCTGCATTTTCATTCAATTGTATTCTTATCTATGGATAGTTTATGATAATTGGTTTTGTTCTTATCAAGAAAAAAATGGTTTTCATAGTAGAGCATGGAATCAAATTATTAATTGAACTTTCTCTTAGCATTGTGATAGCTGTTCTACTTACAATTTCACGTTGTGTAGGATGGAATGCCTGCATTGCGCTCGTGTGTGGAAACTGTGTTGTTTGGTAAGGCTTGATGTCTATATTTTCTAATATTATTATTTTTCCCCCTTTTTGGGGAATATTCAAACCTCTCAGTTGATTTATATTGTTAGCAGGTCTATTATGCTTTATAATTAATTAGATATCAGTTATCTTAACTCATAGATTCATGTATATCAAGTACAATGCCTTTTTTGTTGATGGGAATTCCTTGGCTACTTTTTCATTATTGAAATTACTTTTGGTATTTATTTATGGTTTTCATATTCTGGGTTCCCTTTGATGGAACTTCATCATCCTGTCATGGTGAATTCTACTGTTTTATTTCTCACTAAGGTCCATTAGCGTGTACATCATTGCTTTCCTTGAACTGTAAATTGGTTCGATGCTCTAGTGCTGTATGAAATAATTACACTTCTGGGAGATCACAAAAACTCTTTGATTTTTCCACATCTTGTATTGATGCATTAGCCATGGTGATCAGCAACTTAGAGTTTAACAAATACTACCCACTTGCATGATCTGCTTTTCTTAAACAAATTTCTACTTAATAAATTGTGTCTTCTTTAGTTAACGTGATTTGCTTTAAACAAGATTAAGGTTCTCTTCCACACGTTAATTTTTACAGCCTTGTTGCTTGAAAACTGGCATGAATTGTAGGAAAGGTGCTCCAACCACTCCTTTGGTCACCATAGCAATGACAAAGATAGTGGCTGGAGTTTTGGAAAAGAATAACTTACCAGGTGCAATTTTCACGTCATTATGTGGTGGTGTTGAAATTGGCGAAGCAATGGCAAAAGATAGGCGCATTCCTCTAGTTTCCTTCACTGGGAGTTCAAAGGTACTTCTATCTTGTGCCTATTTGATGAGATTATTTTATTTGGAATTACAGGATAGGATATTTCATGTTCTTGTTGAATTTGAACAGGAAAAAAAGGAAAACCTACTTACTAATTGTCGAAGAAACATTTCAAATTTGATATTTTTGCATATCAATTAACAAGAATTTTTTTCTCAATATGTGTTAGATACATTCATGCTTTAATACACCAAGATTTTAATTTATATTGCACATTCTAACTGCAGGTGGGTTTAAAGGTGCAACAAACAGTAAATGAGAGATATGGTAAATGCTTGCTTGAACTAAGTGGAAACAATGCAATAGTTATCATGGATGATGCCGACATACAGTTAGCTGTTTGCTCTGTACTATTTGCTGCTGTTGGTACTGCTGGTCAGCGCTGTACCACATGCCGTAGACTGGTATTTTTAATTATGTGAATCTTCTTCTGAATTTTGATATATGTATCGTGTATTGACAGCTGCTAATGCTTTTTCTGCTGAATTTTTCTGTTTGCTTTGTATTGAAGCTTCTTCATGAAAGTATATATCAGACGGTACTTGACCAGCTACTTGATGTGTACAAACAAGTTAAAATAGGGGACCCATTGGAAAAGGGTACCTTGCTTGGGCCTTTGCATACTTCTTCTTCGAGGGAGAACTTTGAGAAAGGAATAGAGATAATCAAGTCACAGGTGTGTTATTTATTTATTCATTTCTCACTTGCACCTCATTTAACCCATGTCTAAGCTTTCTCTTATCTTCTATAAAACAAAATTTGGGTTAGTAAATTAAAATACAACATAAATCTAGAGACTCGTTTTTCATGATTTCATTGGCTCAATCTTCCACCACACATTTACAGGTGTCATGGACGTGCATCAAATGTTCAGAAAGGCAGGTCATAGTGTTATAGTAGCCAACCCATATTTATAATCTTACTTTGTGCATGAATAAATATCTTTAGCTTTCAATTGTTCCTAATAAGATCTCATAAATTATTGACTTTCAACACTGTTTGGAGGTAGTCTTGAAACTCTCTACGTTGCAGTGTGAAGCTTTGTGTGTTGACTTATGTATGGTTTTGTTTGATGTCACCTGGAAGCTGATTTGGTAAGAATTTCAATTGCTTTGTATTTTGGCCGTGGTTCCTGACCTTATTCTATCTTGTGATGTTTTCCAGGGAGGGAAGATTCTAACTGGTGGTGATCTGATAGAGTCTGAGGGGAACTTTGTGCAGCCAACAATTGTTGAGATTTCTCCAATTGCCGATGTTGTTAAAGAAGAGTTGTTTGCTCCTGTTCTTTATGTCATGAAATTTAAGGTAGCCTCTTCTTCACAATTTTTTTCTTTTGGGGTAGGTTGATGGCGGCTACCCCTGTTCATAGGAGGCACCTTATACAAATTCTTTCTTGTTTTAATGTTATGGAAGGAGGTGCTCTCTGAAAACCTTAACTAATTCTGCAGACTTTGAAAGAAGCTATTGAAATAAACAACTCTGTTCCTCAAGGATTGAGCAGTTCTATATTCACTCGTAAACCTGAAGTCATCTTCAAATGGATTGGGTGAGTCTCTACCCCATGTTTCATTAATCAATAAATTATTCAGTTCTTATAGTCAAAAGCTTTCTTTTTGCTTGTTCATTGTTATCCTATTACAATAATCAAAATATGTGCATCACCTGCATGAATCTTTAGATCATTGATATTTCTATGGCATTGTAATTTATAAATCATGCTTCTCACCTAATTATATATGTGCAGGCCTCAAGGAAGTGACTGTGGTATTGTTAATGTGAACATGCCAACCAATGGGGCTGAAATAGGTGGTGCTTTTGGTGGTGAAAAGGCTACAGGAGGAGGCCGTGAAGCTGGAAGCGACTGTTGGAAGCAATATATGCGACGCTCCACCTGGTAAACTTGATTATAAATTCCAATACCTCGTTTTTACATCCTTTTCATTGATATACTGAGTAGTTGCCATGGAGAAAGTTGAGTTCTGCGTTTTGCTCATCTCGGGTTCACTGTTTGATATCCTGCTAAAACATTCTCAGTGAGCTCTTTGTTTGATGTCTTTGGCAGCACAATAAATTACGGGAACGAGTTACCTCTGGCACAAGGAGTCAATTTCGGCTAGGAATGCCACATGGTTAAAGCGTATATTAACTATTTTCACATAGCATCATTAGCATTAAGACTTTTTTTTTTCCTTTTACCTCTCTTAAGTTTCAATTTTTCAAACGCAGGGTCAGGCCTAAGGAACCAGTTTTACATGTCCTGCAAAATCAACAGTGCCGGCCTTGTTGCTTTGGTTCGTTGATTTGCCAGAGCTCTTTTATTCTCTAGACTGGCATCTGGTCTACATAATTGTGGCCTAAAAACATTGGATAATAACATAGAATAAAAGGAAAAGGAAAAAGGCACAATGTTCGTATGCCTTGCAATAAAGAAATCAATGAAGTTAGAGAACAATCTCGTCTTTTTTTAAATCTGCAGATTTAGTTTACCTGCTGTATACTTACAAAATAATTATCAAAGAACAGTGTTGAATAGGCATTGTATTTTTTTTTTTTCTTTTTCATTTTTTTCACTTCATATTGCATATTTTGCTCATGTTTTTTCTATCCATTGTACCTTTCCCTTATTGATTCATTACTTATGCATTCACAATGCTAAAAAGGTTTATCTTAATCTAAAGTTGTGTTTGTTAGTAAAAGAAAAGACGTCATATTTAATTCAATAATTATTTTTTAATTTTTTTCCTCTTTCCTTATTGAATGAAGCATAAACAACTTTTATCGATTCCGTTTTCAAGAATTATTTTGGTTTAGGATAAAGGAAGCTGTAATTTAGAGATAAAGGAATAAGTTATAAATGTTAAAATTTCAATTTCAATTTTGTTAAATATCATCTCTTAAAAATAATTATAAAAATTATATAAGTTAAATTTCGGGTTAAAATAAGAGATTTTACTATATATCAATTTAAATTAAATCTAAATAAGAATGCCAATAGAAGACCGTACATGATAAGAAATTAGGTAATCCATATGCCTTGCTTATTTTCTCACTAAAATGATAGAAACATAAAAGTAGTAAATGAAAAATGCAATCATCTATCTAACATGACAATCATTATCAGATGGAACTGATGGAAAGTAGGTAAGAAGACATGAAATTTTAGACACTGCCCCCACTCTAATTTTTAGGTGTAAGAGACAAATCATGGTGTAATGGATATTACATTGATTAATAAATCAGTAGGTGCTTGTGGGTTGGACATATAATATATTTAGGCTTCTTCATTGAATTAGTTAAATTGTTCTTTTTTTTCCCTCAAATAGATTTGTTGTTTTGCTTCTGATTCTCATTTTGTTTGAATTGAAGAAAAGAAAAAATAATGAACAAAATCAGGTCAAGTTCAAGCCTTTTTTTTTTTTTTTCATTTCTTTAATGGACAAGAGGGCAAAGAGCTAAAGCTGAAAAAAAAAAAAAAAAGACCCAAACTTTGGCCAGGTTTAAATTTAGCAAAATCTGTCCCTACTCAACTCATTGTCATCTTGACTTGTCATATTTATTAATAATTAGTGGTTAGAAAATTGCTGGATCTAAGAAAGAAGGCAATAATAATGTAAAATTTTGCCAGGCATAAGCTACCCTTCTTAATATAGGGGTTACCACTATTTTCCTTTTTAAAGTCAACACCCAACTCGGGTTCTAATCATAGGAATATAAGATAATCATATTATGAAAAACAAAGGCAGAAAGAAGACAAAAAAACAATTCATGTTTTCCTTCTTACAAATATAATAATTTAGTGAGTAATCAAAAATTTGCATAATAGAAACTGAAGATTTATATGATTAAAAAAAAAAGGGCAAATTTGGGTAATTTAGAAGAAACCCAATATTTTTTAGGCTAGTATTCACCCATTCCAACATTTTTGCTTTTCCAAAATCCATATCATACCCTGGAAAGACCTCACTTTGTACTTTTGGAGAGTTAAAAAGTGTTGAAAAAAAATGTCTGGCATAAATATTCTACCAAATCTACTCTGCAACTATTTTACTATTTTGTTTTATGATTTCATCAATAAAACAAAGCAATGGTTTAATCTTTGCTGTTTTGTTCAGACCAAAATAAACAGGTTTGCCCTTTCAATAATATTTCAGAATCTTAGGAAGATCGGTGGGGTCCATGGATGAGTCAGATGATCTGTCCTTGATAGACCCAATCCGAAACCTAGACCCCACTCGTTATGTTCGGACGTCTTGTCCCGTAATAAGTTTCACTTAACAATCATGCACTGAATCCACTTACAGAAACTTCTGCCTGTCAAGGCTTAACAGAACATCAGCAGAGCAGAGTAGAGCTGTCCACAGCGTATTCTAATGTTTGCTGCCATCCATAGGGTTTATAGAATGACAAAGTTTTCAAAAATTATAAGTTGTTTAGTTTTATATATAAATTTTTTATTAAAATTTAAAATTATAATATTTTTATATTATTTATATTTTTTTGTTACCACTGTAAGAGCACATTCTTGCTAACGATTTTTGAGGAATATCAGCTTCTGGTAGAAGAGCTGAATCACTGTTCAGTCCAAATCTTGCATTTCTATAGCCCATACAGGGTGAAGTCGCTGTTTAAAGATAGTAATACAATCATACCTTTAAACCAGTATTTTCTAACCATTTCCAGCCATCCAATCATACTTTTTCCGAGTCATGCTCCATTCAAAATTTCCTTCCTCTTGATCATCTACCATGATTATACAACATCTCTTTTCATGAAAGGGATTTTAAAAGCTCTGAATCAAGTGATATCATTGGCATGCAAGTGGAATGAGTAAACAAATTGAAGCTCTTGAGAAAGAAATCTCAGGTCATTCCATTCATGCTAAAAAAAAGAACAACTCGACAAATTGTCATTCAGTTCCAAGTGGCATCTTAACTAATTCTTCGTGCTTGGCTGTAGATTGGCATTAGACAAATGATTTGAGCTCGTGGGTATGCCCTTCCTTGATTTGGAATTTGGAGTATCTCATAAGAAAACGCCATTGATGGCATCTCAGCATAAATGGAATCACTTTTAGGGAATAAAGGTAGGTTGAATTCCATTATTATATTCCATGTTGCTCTTGGATTTTTGTACAACTCAGCTTTGGAACCATATTCTTCGATCCAATCATGCAAATCCCAAACCAAATATCAGAAAATTTCAATCTTTATTTACAGAATCTTAGATTTTAGATTTTTTTTAGCAGGAACAAAATTAAGAATATAAATAGAGCTTTTTTCTTTTGAATACTAAATATTAAACATGAATATCATTGTGTTCAATTGTCAAAAATCAGCGGCACCAGAAAAAGAAAAAGGAACCCAGAGTTCATAACCAACATTTACAAAACCCCACAACTGGTAACAGGTTTTCCATTTGAAACATGTTTCGGTTTGATTAAAAAAAAAGTACAAATTCGATTGTAGAACGCTTATTCAAGTTCAAATTCAAGTTCAAACTCAAACTACTTTCATGGTAGTCGGTAAAAAACCAGTCTAAACTGGTTGTATTTCCTTCTACAAAACAGCTGTAAAACACTAATGGCAAGAAGCACGGGCAAATAGTCAATCATCCAAGAATGCAAAATCTGTTGCTTTGGTATGAGCAAGCAGATTCAAAGAATGAAAAAGAGAACTTCAATTATCCGAAAGAAGAATTAGATTTCTAACAACAGAGGAATTCTATATTTGACATTGAAAATCTACATAAGCTTCTTAGTCTAAACTTAAACATCAATCTCATTTTCCTTTTTCTTCTTTTGCTTCATTTTTAATTCTTTCCTCTTTTTCTTTTTAATCAATGATACAATTAGGAATGACGAACTTGAATCCAACTCTTTCAAGTATGAGAATCACATGTATCTCGCCAAACACCCATGAGCCTTTTTCTCTTTTTTTGCAGCATATCAAATCAAATTCCCCCCAATGTTTACCTTCATCAACCGGACAGGGTAGGGAACCAACTTCCAGACCTGGTAAGCCCCGGACCCCGAATTGCACCAACCTTTCTGGTAGGACTATTTGGGGTTGATCTTAAACCTCTTGGAGAATCCAAACTTCTTCTAAGAATACTTCTCATAGCAGATATCAAAAGAACTGTAGGATCAGGAGGCGGTCCTGGGGAGACAAATTTTTGGCAGAAAGTCATGTGCCTAGCCATTGCTTCCTCAGTACTAATAAGCCTTTCTGTCCTTATAGTCTCATATTTGACGGCTTCAGCACAAAGGCCACATATCCATTTTCCTTGATACCGTTCGCGTACCCTTTCGATATATGCTGGGGTACACTCCTCGGTTAGTCCACAGCAATCGCATTTAGCAAACTCAACTTCACTTTGTGCAACAAGTTTTGGTGATGTTGCTTGGGTTTCTGGAGCTGGTGCTGATACCACCATTGGGTCACTGATCATTGTAGCAGACATTGCCAGCAAGTCCTGTTAAAAACAATACAACAAACATAAAGAAGGTGAATAAATACACTTTTAACTTGGGTTTCTGTCATGTTTTATTTCATTTTCTTCGCCAAACTAGCAAACATTTTCTTCTTCTTGCTTCTAACATTTGTTCAATGTGAACATGGTGAAAAAGATGTGAAAGTATAACGTTGACATGAGTTCTATCACAGCTTACCTAATATTTAGCTGGCATTTGCATTATCAACAACTAAACCAATAAATTCTCATTCTTTTTCTCAACTAAAAACAGAGGATTAAGCAGTTTTGCCATTATGATTGAAAACTGTGTTCATACAAGCCAAATATCATCATTTAAATGCAGCTAATTATGTACTTTCAGTTTCCTTTATATATATATATATATATATATATATATATTTGAGGCTGCCAAAGATTAAACCTGGTAGAAATAACAAGAACAGAAACAATCAACAACAGATAAGAAAAGCAATTAAAGAAAAAGGGTGTTAAAAAGAATTACCAACTGAGAAGAAGAAACAAAAGTTTTTGTTGTTGTTCTTGCTTAAAATCTCCCTTTTCTACTTCTGCTACTATGGCTTGTTTGGCAAATTAAATGTTTCTTTTTTTTGTTCCTATTATCTCTCCTTCTCCCACTCTCCTTCCAACTTTCCGCCCGTGAAGTAAATCTCACACATAAAAACCATTTCTTAGAAACCTTCAATTCCCTTCCTTTTTCTTTCTTTTCTTGTTTTCTCTTCAAAGAACTATACAAAAAACCTCAAAGACCCTTTTTTTTTCTATTACTTTGAAAGAACCCCAGAGACCCAAATCTTTAAATGAACAAAAATAACCCAAGAGATTGCTTTTTGCTTCTCTTCCACAAAATTCTCCGCTCAAAAGCACTTATAAATGAAAGAAAGAATTTTTTTTTTTTAGAGAGAGAATGGGAGCCCAATGATTGAAACTTTACGGGGTGAACTCTAGTATGTTCCACGTCAGCAATATTTGCTGCAAGTGTATCGTGGCCGTTGATCTCTTGATTGGCAGCTACGCAAGCGTTTTTAAATTGGGAAGACTATTTCTGTTCTTTTCATACCTCTTTCTCTTGCACTCTTCACCAACTATGTCTCGCCACGTCCTACCAAAAACGTGTAAGGGACAACTTTGAAGATTTCCCCATTGGGTATATTTGCTTAGTAAGTTTATAATAATTTATAAAATTGCTACAGTTGTAACGATTAAGATAATCACCTTTAATTTCGATTATTTTTTAAATTAATTGATATATTATTAGAGTTAATACTTAAAAGTTATAAATTTGAGAGAGTTTAAAAGCATAATATTTGTTTTAATTAAATATATAATTAGGTAAAAAAATTGATGATTAGCACTAATTACGGTTCAAACGGTCCAAATTTATTTATGGGTTTGTTTTGAGTTCAAACATGTTCACACTATGTGCTTGTTTGGTTTTGTGGATCTCAAACCATTTGCTTGTTCTTGCAAACAACACTAAAGTAATTTTAATTGATTTTTTCTTATTAAAATACTCGTATTAAACAGCCTTTTGTTCATAAACAAAATCTTTATTTTCTTTGAAAAAGGCATTGGGATAGGATATTATTTTCATTAGTTTTTTTTTTTTACTAAATAAGAAAAATATCTTGTAGAAAAGTAAACCAAATAAAATTTATTGGACTTTAATTTTTTAATAATTATCGCATAAATCAATCAAATTAAATTTTAAATTGAAAATCACTTTAGTTTCTTTTTTTTTTTTTTCTTTCATTTTGACATGTCAAATTTCAGCAGCTAGTCTATGCCAGAAAATGAAATTGAATTTTCATTCAAATAGTTGGAAAAAAAAATAAAGACTTTGTAGATAGTCCATTTCATTTGTCTATCCATGACAATTAATTTATCTAATAAAGTAGCTAATTTCTCAAGCAAAACAGAAACCTTCCTCTCCAATTGATTATGCCATTAGATCAGGTAGCTATTTGGCATTATTAGACTGTATTTATAGGTCCCAAGGACCACAACTATAAGCTGCTTTGAATCTCGGCAATACAGTAGGCTTGGAATTTAACAAAGATTGTAACGTGCACATTTGGAGTTTGATATAACTTTCAATTATTTCACCAACAGATATTAGGTCAGGTAGCAAGAGAACTTTCTCTTTTTTTTTTTTTATTGTTTTAGTTTAAATTTGTTGAAAAATTGTTAAAAAATAATTTTTTACGAATTCGTTAGATTAGACATAAATAATTTTTTTAAACTAATTCGATGATAAGATATACCAATAAAAATAATCTTTCAGTTATTTCATGTCATAATTCATATTAAAAAAATTTCGAGTTAAAATGAATAAATAAAACCCATCATTTAAATTAATTGTATCTTGGAACTTAAGATTTTTTTTTTTTACAATGACTTTTTTTTAACAACCAGATTAACCATTAATGTTAATAAATATTAAAACTAAAATGTTTGCTATGAACAAGTTCATTAAAAATTTTTGGATATATAAATACCATAAGAATTTTTGGATGGAAACTTTAAAAAAAGAAACACGTGTTAGGCAAGAAGGAGGTGGAGTTATCAAACCTTTAATTATTGGTTTGAATAGCAGTGCAAATTACGCAACTCCTTTCGTTGTCATAGTCCCCACTCCATGTTTTATTTCCAAGCACCAGGATATACCTTGTTGGCGATTCTTCCTGGTTCGAAAACCACCCCTCCTCGATCGCAGGGGCAATGGCAACCGATATCTCGCACCCGTCACACTCGAATCAGGTAGTTTTAGGTTTAATAAATGCATGGACCAATTGCTTTGCCAAAGCTGAAGCAACGAGAACTGCAGCTAGCCCCTGAGTGCAAAAATTATGGACCTATGCATCGATTGTGATCGAGACTTGCACACTTTGAAAGCTTAATTATTAAGATAATTGACAACTCAACCACTAGTCCTGTTCCTATCTATTCCCATGTGAAGATTTTTAATTTTCGTTAATAATTAAATATTTGTTGATAAAATATTAAATTCTTAATTTTAATAATATAAATTCGAATCTTGACAGTTTAATTTTAAAACAAATCATTCATTTTCATTCATTTCTTTCTTTCTTTCTTATCACGATAAACAAAGGGGGAGAAAAAGAGGTCAATGCTTAATGGGAGTTTGTTGGGAGCTGTGGACTGGTTCATACATGGGAAAATAGGGACAGCCCCCATTTTCAGTTTTTTTTTTTTATCATTCAAGGGGTAGAGTCTTAAGGGAGAGAAGAAAGTTGGAGTTTCGAATCTCAATTTTAATGTCTTCTTTATTATTGTTTTGACCACTAAACCAAACAATTGAAGATCCCATTTTTCAGTTTTGTTCTCATGCATGTTTCACATGCATTTGTCTAAGCCTTTTTCTTATATGTATTTCTTGTGTCTTTGACGACTGAAGAAACAGTGATTTAAGTTGTCTATCACTGATTTTAGATTTGTCTGTCTTTTCGTGTGTTGGTTTCAACATTTTGCAACTTGGATATGAATTGCATTTTCATTGTTTTTTTTTTTATTATTGTGTTTTTATTGAATAAAAAAATATAATTCTTACATTAAAATAAGTGAATTTCTACTATATATATATATATAAATTCATTTTTTTAAGTCAATCTGACTGATTGAAATGATAATATTAACATGAATCACGAAATGTTGATAATTGATCACAAATTAATATATATTTAAAAATATCATATGAGGATTATGGGCCATACACTAATCACATTAATTAATAATCAAGTGGTAATAAATTATTTATTATTATTATTATTATTATTATTATTATTATTATTCTCTCGTGATTTAAGCTTTAATCATGTTTATAATTCTATCTTTTATAATCATATGACCAAATTAAACCCATCTTTTTTACTACTTTTTGGGAAAAAGCCGACTAATGATCAATATTTTAAAATGAAGAACTCTTTGAACTTTTTTTTTTTTTGCTTTTTTTTCATTTGTTTTTCCCTAATTTTCGAAAAGAAAAAAGAGGAGAAAATTTTAAGAAAAAATTGTTGTTTGGTAGTTAGTGGTTGGAAAAGGAAAGTTGGAATGACAATTGTCAAATACATGTTTTTTTGTTTGATTGCTGATTTCTTATCAAAACGGTTCTTTCACAATAGCCACAATTTTATTTTTTTTCAAATTCAGCTGCAAAGAGATCTTGATCCTTTGTAAAAGAATATAAGCCTTAATAACCCAAAATTTTTAATTAATTTAATTTTCAGTTATAAATTAGCAAAATTTCTGGTTCATAGAATCCATTTCCTTTTTATCTTTCAAGTTTTTTAAAGATGATATATATATATATATATCATTGAAAAAAAAAAAAAAGGAGTCTATAGTACTAGTAGATTTTTTTTTTTTGAGTAAATTTGAGTAATAAAGTTGGAAAAAATCTTCCTATGCTTTAAATTAAGTTTATAATAATTTTGATGTGGTAAAAAAAAGTTATATAAATTAATTAATAGGTCAAATCAAACAAAAACAAAGTGCACAAAAAAAATTAAATGCTACTATATTATTTATTATTTAGTATACACTTTGTGCATACTAAGTCTCTCTCCATGTGTATATATATAAAAAAAAAAAAAAAACTATACTACAAAAGTTGTTGAAAGTTATTTTCAATGAGTTCAAATCATGTTTCCTATCAATTATCAACATTAAATAACTTGTTTAAAAGGCAACATTAAACAAATTTGTGTGTGTGCGTGTTTTTTTTTTTTTTTTTGTCTTCCTTGGCAACTTGTCTGATTTGATTGCTTGATTATCAGTTAATTTTTCTTTCAAGGTTTAAACGTAAACATATTATAGGGAAGCCCGCGCCATGGTGCAATGGTTTTTTTTTTTTTTGTGTTATTTTTTATTTTTTGAAAGATTCATTTGTATTATTTGAATGGTGATGATAATTGGATATGATAGTTGCTTGTTTGATCTAGTAGAATACCTGCTACTAGGATTTAAAGCTAGAGGTTCGATAAGTAAAAGATCATTTTTGGTAAATCAAACATTTATTAGTTTTGTCTTAAAAGTAATATCCAAAACTAATAAATGTTTGATTTACCAAAAATAATAAATGTTTTTGGAAATATATTTTTGTTTTTTTATATATTTTTGGAAAAAAATAGTTATTTGCCTTTACATTGATTTTGCTTTTTTAATTTGAAGTTGTCAATTTTTTATTATTAAAATTAAGAATTTTGTGTTTTATCATTCGTGTTCGTTGACTACAGCCACGACTTTTGAGTTGTATGTTTATATCTGTGCACATTATCAATGAGTTTTTCTTGAATTTTTTAATACGATTAAATGCGTTTTTCAAAATTCATATATTATTATTCTCGTATTATTTTTATAATATATCATCATATATTTTTTAAAATTATTAATTTTATTTTTAAATTTTATTTAAATTAAATAAACCACTAAAAGTAATAGTAGTACAAATTTAAAGGGTAAAAATTGTTAATTTTATTTTTTTAAAGATATATAAGCCAATTCATTTTTAGTACTTTCAGGGTTAGTACTTTTAACATATAAAGAGATTTCTACAATAATTTGTTTCCATCAAAAAATAAGAGAAAAAAAAAATCAAATTGTTTCCTACAAGAGTACTTACCCAGTATATCCACCATGATTATGAGTTTATGACCATTCAGAGCTTGACTTGCTCCTCCTCAAGCTCCTTTCTTCCTTTGTTAGCGTTTCTATCATGGTTTCTGAAAGCCGCAATTTACTATACAGAGATCTAGGTGTAAGGAAAATCTCAATCTTAGCTTCCATTGTCCTTTGGCTGTTATCAGTGTCACTTGAGGTGGGAGTATTACCGTCAGACTCCACTGCATCAGAATGAAATGTAACAATATGCATAATCTTTCCAGC